GGAGTGGCGGTTGTCTGGGCAGCAGAGGAACCGGTGTCAGCGTTGGGCCCCATGGCTTTGGAGGTTTTCGCCTTCCCGATGGGTACCTGAACTTCACCGCTAGTGAAAGCAAGAGGGGCACAGGTTGTTGGCAGTTTGTGCAGCCTTCTGGTCACTCGACGCATGGCTTTGTCCACCGGAGGATGCAGTATGAATTGCCGGCTAAAATAGCTCGCGCATTGCTGCGGGACCGACGATGCATGTTCGCCGAAAAAAATTTCGACCCTGTCGTCCTGCTTCGTCGGATTGGACAGTGACCTCACGGTTGACCATAGCTAACTCACACCAGAGGCGAAGTTACAAGCCTTTCCAATAAACTTTAAAAAAGTTGATATAGGTCCGGTGTTCCGCGAAAGCAAAGTCGGTTGGTATATCGATCGAGATGACAATGGGCAGATGGTCTGATGCCAAAGTCAGCATAGGCCGCCATGATACGCTGTTTATCAGCAGCTGTCCTTAATCCTGGTGGGTGCGTCGTCGTTCATTGTACAGCATGTCGAATCGTCTATCTGCTCAGCCAAGTCTATTCCTCTACGATCGTTTGACAGGCATGAATGCCAAAGGTCGTGGTGTGCATTAAAGTCACCAACTACCATACGGTTTTCACCTCTGAGGAGCGCACCNAACTCAAAATTAATATTTAAAATGATTTTTAGACGACAAAAATAAGAAATTTTTGGAAAATGGGCATAGCCACGCCCACTTATGATTACATGTGTATATCTTGCGAACCGCTCCCCCAATTTCTCCCAAAACTGGCACAGTTGTTGACCTTGGTACAACATACCAAACGATCGANACACGGTGTGCTGCGTGATGAACGCTAAGCCACCACCATTATCAAGCTTGAGATCTCGACGGTGCACGTTATATACGGCACAATTCAACAATGTTGAATTGCTGTGCAACTTCATCTCTTGGACCNATATTTAAAGAAATACGAAATCTTCTAGAAATCAGTAAATACTGTAGCTACTTTATTCAAAATTGATGTTTGCAATAATTATTTAGCAAAAAATACGTTTATTATAAAATTTTGGAAAATGGGCATGGCACCGCCCACTTATGACCACATATGTGAATCTCGGTAACCGTTCGATCAATGTGTACCAAACTCGGTATTATTATTGTGCTTGCCACATAAAAGCAAACCGTTGAAAATTATTGAAATCNCCATGGCAGGTGTTGCACTTAACTGATGCCACGTTACGGAATATCCTGGTCTGACATACCGTGCAGATTGTAGGAAGTTCCTCCAAGAGTTGTTGGCGGCGGCGTTTGGATGGTGGTGTGGTTGTGTCTGTTGTGTGGTTTGTCGTGGTTGTGGTGTGGTCTATTGTGTTGTTATGTTGTGGTGTTTGTGNCGAACCGCTCCCCCAATTTCTCCCAAAACTGGCACAGTTGTTGACCTTGGTACAACATACCAAATGATCGAAAATTTTTAAAATCGGACCATAACCACGCCCACATATATAACGGATATTTAGAGAAATACGAAATCTTCTAGAAATCAGTAAATACTGTAGCTACTTTATTCAAAATTGATGTTTGCAATAATTATTTAGCAAAAAATACGTTTATTATAAAATTTTGGAAAATGGGCATGGCACCGCCCACTTATGACCACATATGTGAATCTCGGTAACCGTTCGATCAATGTGTACNTGAGCTGCTCAGGTGGACTGGGGTTAGCAGTGAAAGCTGCTCTGTTTGAGGAGCAGGGGGCCACAAATCATGTGGTCCACTGTCTATGAGTCCGTAGGAGTGAGCAGACTCTGAGGTGACTCCACTCGTCGCAGGCTGAGGTTGAGTTGTGGTGTAGTCGTCTCTGGCATACACAGCAGGTGTAAGTTTCTGGNCAAAATTGATGTTTGCAATAATTATTTAGCAAAAAATACGTTTATTATAAAATTTTGGAAAATGGGCATGGCACCGCCCACTTATGACCACATATGTGAATCTCGGTAACCGTTCGATCAATGTGTACCAAACTCGGTATTATTATTGTGCTTGCCACATAAAAGCAAACCGTTGAAAATTATTGAAATCGGACTTAAATTACGCCCTGCCTGGTTCCGACAAAATAAAATAAAATAGCTAACATAAAANACCTGCCCTGAGCAGAAGAATACGTAGCAAATGTAGCCCTATGGACGAACAACTTCTGAGATACTTCGCCGACCTAAACGGGGTTAGATCACCGAAACAACAGCCCTTGGTCGGGTAAAACCCGAGTCATTCCGGTACGTAGAACCGGCTGGCGTGGGAATGGCGGATCCGGTAACACCATGTTTGTTGCAATTTTGTTTTGTACTGATTCGTTATTTAACAAAAACCATGTTAATGAAACTTTGTACAAAAATTAGCAAAATTCGAAGAAGTTTCACCAAAATTTTGAGCTTTTTAATTAGTTTTCCTAGAAAAATTTTGAATAGGCAGTTTTGTAACCCATTCATTTGTATTGCAAATTTAAAGTAGCTAGGACTTATCTATTGTTTTTGGAAATTTGTTTTTGTATTTTTGGAAATTTGTTTTTGTGGAAGATTTTGGTCTTTTTCTCCATACAAAAAAAAATTCTAACATATTTTGCATGGAAGAAAATGCGCGAACTTATCTACTGTTGATTTTTGGGAATTTGTATTTGTGGAAGGTTTTGCTCTTTTTCTTCATACAAAAAAATTTCGAGCATATTTTGTATGGAAGAAAATGCGTGAACAAAAAATTGCTAAAACTCAAAGGAAAGTCTAAACTACTTAGAACTTGGACTTTGTTATACTAAAATTTAATGGGCTACAAAACTGCATGCTCAAACAAATTCTAAAAATCTGATTAAAAAGTTTAAAATATTGATCAACATTTCGTCGCCTGGGTAAAATAATGTCGTAAGCGCCATTTTGACTATTTTTAGTTCTAAATGCAGTTATATATTTTGAAATAAGGTCTTTCGACTGGTGTTATCAGTTTTTAGATATATCCTTTAGTTTCCGAGATACTGACTACAACTTTTTCGATAATTTAGTAGAAATTTAGTTGGTGGCGGTGACTGTCTGTCCGTCCGTCCATCTGTCCTTCTGTGCACACGATAACTCGATTAGAATTTTAGATATTGTAACGAAATTTGGTATGTTTACTTCTTTTTAGCGTAGGACTGATGGTATTGAAAATAGGCAAAATCGAACAATAACCACGCCCACCTCCGATATAAGGGTAGTTTTCAGAAATACGAAAACTGCGATATTTTATTAACTACTGAAGCTTATTAACTCAAAATTAATATTTAAAATGATTTTTAGACGACAAAAATAAGAAATTTTTGGAAAATGGGCATAGCCACGCCCACTTATGATTACATGTGTATATCTTGCGAACCGCTCCCCCAATTTCTCCCAAAACTGGCACAGTTGTTGACCTTGGTACAACATACCAAACGATCGAAAATTTTTAAAATCGGACCATAACCACGCCCACATCCCATATAACGGATATTTAAAGAAATACGAAATCTTCTAGAAATCAGTAAATACTGTAGCTACTTTATTCAAAATTGATGTTTGCAATAATTATTTAGCAAAAAATACGTTTATTATAAAATTTTGGAAAATGGGCATGGCACCGCCCACTTATGACCACATATGTGAATCTCGGTAACCGTTCGATCAATGTGTACCAAACTCGGTATTATTATTGTGCTTGCCACATAAAAGCAAACCGTTGAAAATTATTGAAATCGGACTTAAATTACGCCCTGCCTGGTTCCGACAAAATAAAATAAAATAGCTAACATAAAACCTGGACCTGTAGCGCACTCCCGTTGGCTAACCAAGGCCGGCCGAATTTTACGATTATACGTTTCAACAAGTTCACCACCTTGTAACTTAAAAACTCTAGAAGAATACCTTGTAAGAGTTTATGTTCCCATGTACTTTAACACTAAATACTAACATTCCATTATATACGGCAGTCTGCTTCTAACACATACTTTTCTCATGCAGGAAATGTCATGCTATCAATGCTTTACGATGAAAGACAATAGAAGAACTTAAAGAGTACAAGAAATGTGAAATTAATTTTGACTGCTCCAATTATTTCGGTATGATAGATTTGGATGATGACAATATTTTAACAGAACCGACAATTACTACATTCCGCACAACCATTTGAAGGAATATTTAGAATTTAAAGACCTATCACTTCCTGACCCACTAGTTCCATGCCACGTACAAGGAACTGAACATTACGTTCACGTACGTGGAAGTGTTATGGCTGACTGATTTTTCGTAAAAAAAAAAAAAAAAATACCACGCTTGGAATTGTAGGACTTAAAAACGTTCTTATTTAAGTATTAAAAAATGAAGTGCTTTTTGTACCCTTACACTCATAAATTTGTATAAGTTTTTCCCACAATATTTTGTATTACCTGATATGAAACTTCCCCTTAAAATTCGCTGGCTCTAAATTGGTTTTAGACCAATAGTTTCTTAAGCAAAGTTGTTCAGAATGATACGTTGAGCATTTTCCGCATATGCGATTTTATGGGAAAAAATCGACCCGCCCTAAAGTATATGAAATGATAACGATTTCTTCAACATAAAAAAGGTAAATATGTATGTACATATTGAACGATTTCAGATATAAATTAAAGTTTTTTTGCGAGATTTGTGTGATGAATATACAGCCAAATTCCTTGCTTCGGAGTTTTATGAGTGAATTACCTCACTGTGGTAGCTAAATAAAACTTTCTTATAAATTTACATGCGTAAAAAAAAACAAATTGGGAAAATGCGTTTTGCTTTACATTTTGTCAATATGTGTCCATATGGAATTCACGGTAAGGATTTAAAGAAGCATAAGGAGCTACTATAAAAAGCTATACACTCCGGAGCATTTTAAATTCTAGCTGTTCTTGTTGAGATTTTAAAAAGGAATAGGGCAAACGTTCCTTAAATATAAAAATAACTTGCTAAAGCTTTTGGTTTATTTTAAATAGTTTTAGAACTCGTTTGTCACTACATAAACCAACATTACTATGTCAATCGGGTTGCTTTCACTTCTGTAGTTCAGCCATTTGTGCTTCAAAAAGAGCAGTATTTATTTTATGCTTGAGACCCAATAACACTTCTCGGTTCGTTATATTACGCATTTCATTAGACACGTACTCTCCATACGTTGTAAATTCGTCGCGCATTGTCCCAGTTTTTATACACACATTCTCATCTAAATTTCGCCCTGGCAATTGAGGTTGCCTTTTTTGCTGGTGAATTTTGATTTTGGGATTCATCAATGCATTTGTTGTATTCGATACTACAGTTGGCGTCGACGTAACTATAGTTGCACAATGTTGCTGCCCAGTGCTTTCGTAGAAAACGCGCTTGTTGTCTAGTGTTGCCACAGCATCCTCCTCAAAAAATTCAGGCTCGGTACATGTGTCACGGCGATGTATTTTGATTATACGGGTAGGTAATGGTCCTTGATGTATAGTCTGTTGATTTGTTGGCCCGCCATCGCACCCGTTAGCACCGCTCGACGTAGAGTATACAATACCTTCTTCTTCTGCTTGTATTTGGAGTGATTCTATGTGATCCTCATCGTCCTCTATTGTGTGACTTTCTGAATGATTTCCATGATTATTTGTTTCTTCCTGTGGGTGCATTTCAGCAGTAAAACCGTGGTGACTCAAGGAAACAGAGATTTTTGGTTTATCATCAATATCCTCAACATCTTTGGTAGTTTCTTCAATTAATTTTTCTAACGCTCTTGTACGACTCGCGTTTCGACGGCTTGTGTTGTTCTCCATAGCTTCTATGGTTATAGTTGGTTTCTGATGCAATGTTAAAAACTCTTCATTTAAATTGTTGCTTGAGTTCGCAGAACTGCCGCTGTTCTCATGTTGTTGTGTTGTCAAATCCCTTATAATATATTTAGTGGTAACAGTGCTCTCTTCCGAGATTTCATTTTTAACACGTCCTCTTGCCAAGCGACGGGCCATGGGCGAGCTTAGAAACTGTAAGTTCTTAAAGCCAAACCATTTCGAATTGTAAGGTTCTTTACGCTTATTTCGATTTATTTCACGGTGGTATTGAGTACGTAGGGTATGGAATTTCTTTTCGATTTCCCCAACAGGTATGTTTCCGCCTAGACTGCTGCTAACTTCCATTAAGAGATTTTGCTTAACATCTTTCTTCCGATAATCATCGTGTGTCATATCCCATAGGCCTCGCCGTTTGCGGTATTCATTTATAAGAGCGAGTGTTTTTTCTCTTGTCCACTCCATGTTCACTTGTCACAAAAATATATTATTGGTATCTACAGCACCTTCTACGATAAAGAAGTATGTAAATATATGTATCTACAAGTGGCTTTGTGGGGACAATTTTGCTCGTCCGTTTTTTAATTATAATTTTCTCACCTACTTTATGTGAATTGTACTTTGTTGTTTATACGCATTCCAAAGTCTATTGAATTATTATCCTTCTACGTACGTGTGCAGAAACACCAAATGTATAAAGATAAGTACGCGACGTTTAATAAACTAGCACATATAAAGCCAGGCTAATTTATTGCCTTGGCTTCGCAAAATACACATTTAGAAATGGAAAATAGGGATGAAACGATACCAGTAAATACAAGTACATACTCGATACTTTTCGTTCGATACCAACTAATTTTGGCACTGATACTTTTAAACCAACTCCCAACAAACATTTACGGCGCGTTTACATTGGACAATGCTGTCAAGGCAATGAACATATACGCATGCATGGAAAAGTATGCATGGATAACTGAAAAAAGTGCATGTGTTGCATGTGACAGTATTGTCATGAGTTAGGGTTTACAACGGACAATATTGTCAAGAAAATTATGTCAAATGATGTATTTGTTGCCCTACAAGAAGGTCGGCAAAAATCCTCCGGCTGAACCCTCCACGAGGGTGCCGAATGGAAATGGGCACTACAGAGGATTCTGTGCCATGTCAGAATGGTGCTCAGCTAAGATCAGGAATCAGTGCTATGTGCTAAACTACTTAATAGCTTAGTCATATGGAAATGGTTTTTGATCGTGGTTTGGAGGTCTGAAGGGGCTGGATCAAGGCGTCACGCGCACCGTACCGAGGATCGGCCAGGTTGGGGGCCCCTAAGTAGCCCAGTCGCGAACGGAGCCCTCTGGGAGGCGGCCACACCCAGGATGTAAGTAGGCCTTACCTGGGCATCGCGGACCTCTGCCCGGGTGGACGAACCCTTTCTCCGCAGCTCGTGGAAACAACTATGGATAAAAATCAAAAAACAACAACAACAAAACAGCAACAACAACAACAAAAACAGCAGCAACAACAACAAAAACAAATTATAAAGGGACCGGCCCCCTTAAGGCGTCGGAAGGGTCTCGGCCCACTAAAGAAGGGGCTCAAGCGATGCAGAGTACNCCTCTGCCCGGGTGGACGAACTCTTTCTCCGCAGCTCGTGGAAACAACTATGGATAAAAATCAAAAAACAACAACAACAAAACAGCAACAACAACAACAAAAACAGCAGCAACAACAACAAAAACAAATTATAAAGGGACCGGCCCCCTTAAGGCGTCGGAAGGGTCTCGGCCCACTAAAGAAGGGGCTCAAGCGATGCAGAGTACCTCCACCAGCCGTAGTGCGGTGACAAACGGCGGCAAACCAAGCAAATGGTGAAACCCGGCCAAGCTCTTGCAAAAAAGAAGGAAATCGGCGGTGGGGATGCTCAAAGGAGTCCACCCCGGGAAACTCCTGGCACCAGTGGATGCCAACCTGGCATGCAGATTTCAGCCGGGGATAAGGCTGAATTTGGGGCGCAGTCCCCGGGCGGTCCTCCCGCGACACCCACGGCCTTTACGAGGCCTGACCAGAGGCCAGAACCAGCTGCAGCGGTCTATCGACAGAAGAAGCTGGCTGCACGAATCCTGCAAAGATTCACCACTAGGCCTGACCTGTGTAGCAAGGCGAAGGAAGAGCATGTGAAGGAGATCCTCACAGAAATCGACTGGGCAAACGCAGTCCTGCCCGATTACCGCAAGCCGGAGGAGAGACAGCCGCAGGCGCCCTCCAGTAAGCGCAATAGATCGGGGGGAAATGCGCCCAACAATGCGAAGAGGGTCAGAACGCAGGGGCCTTCTTTTGCTGAAGTAGCTAAGGAGCAGATCCTGCTTGGCGTCATTGACGAGAGCGATGAAGACAGCCTAACCCTGAGGCAGCAGGTTAAGGCCACGATGGCCGACATTGCTATCACCATCATGTTGGAGAATCCGGGACCTCCGCCAACCTGCAAGGGAGCGGGGTGGTTCCAAAATAACATCCGGGTTATAGCATGCGAGGATGCTATATCAGCGGATATATATAAGAAGACAGTCGCAGGCATTGGAGAAGTCTACCCTGGTGCGAAGCTCAGGGCGGTCGACTTCAAGGACCTACCGGTGCGACCGAGAGCGAGAGCATGGTTGCCTTGCAAGCCAGCGGAACCGGAAAGGATCCTGCATACCATAAGGCTCTACAACCCGGAGCTACCTGCCGAAAATTCGAAGATGGTAAAAATCAATGAGAGCGGTAAAGCGACAATGCAGGTTGTCTTGCTTCTTAATAAGGACTCCATAGAGTTGCTGGAGCAAAAGAGCGGGGTGATACGTTACGGCTGTGACATGGCCAAAATTAAAGTCTACAGCAACGATGTAAACGCAGCGAAGAACCTGATCGCGGAGGTAGAGCCGGAGGAGGCCAACAGCGACGTGGAGATGGAGGAGGAATCCGAGCAGGTTGATCCGATGGACGACCTGACCGGGGGTTATGCCTCATCGACGTCTTCGCTGGGGTTCGGACGCATGCTTCGGCTTTATACGGAGGAGGAGTTGATCGAGATGTCGGAAGACGAGGTCAACTCCACCCTAATAGGCGACGTGGGCGATAACGGCCAAAATGGTGAAGGTATTGCAGATTAACCTTCACCACTGTAAAGCAGCTTCAGCTGCACTGCTGCTCCATCTAACAGCTAAAGGGGCAGCCGACATCGTCCTAATCCAAGAACCTTGGGTGGTGGGACAAAACATTTGTGGGCTGAAAGCGCCGGGCTACAGACTGGTAAGTGGAGCCTCAACGGGGAAACCAAGGACGTGCATATTGATAAGTATCACACTAAAGTGTCTCTTTCTTCCACAATTTAGCGACGAGGACACAACAGCGGTCAGTCTAAGTGTAAACGGACGACCAATTAAGATGGCATCCATGTACCTAGCGCACGACAAGGAGGTGCCAACTATCTGCATAAAGGACCTAGTGGCCAGCACGAGGGAGGCGCTAATTTTGGGAGGTGATGCGAATGCTCACCATCATGCCTGGGGCAGCTCCGACGATAATGAACGGGGTGAGTCACTTTTTAATTTCATACTTAGCTCCAAGCTTGTTATTGCAAATAGGGGGAACGATCCCACTTTTATTACAAAATCCCGAAGGGAAGTTCTGGACGTTACCCTTATCTCTGAGAATGCGGAATGTCTGGTCGGGAAGTGGAAGGTGCTTGAGGAGCACTCCTTTTCCGACCACCGATATATCCAATTCGGGGTAGTAGGGGGAATGCCCAAGGCTCCTCTAACTAGAAACTTGCGAAATGCCAACTGGCATAGGTATCGGGAAGAGCTGGATAGGCTTTTGCCAGAAGATAGAGAGCCGGCTACTCCAGCAAACCTAGAGGAGCTGGAATATCTTGTCGACCATTTTACGGGGGCCTGCAGTAAGGCAATTGCAATTGGCACATTGCATGCCCCAAAAAGCAGCACCAATCAAGAAATCAGGATTTCATGCAAGAACTGCAGGAAAACCTTCAACCAGGCTACTGCGTCTGGTAGTGAGGGACATTGGGAGACCTACAAGACAACGTTACGGGAGTACAAGAAGCTCCTAAGAA